TCATCTAGTCCAGCTGTCCACCTACCACCAATATTTCCCCCCCTGGTTTGGTGCTGAGCCTGAGCAGTTGACCTGAGACTTGTGCAATTTTGCATTAAGCAGATAGTCTCTTTGACTAAAGAGCTTATGAGGTGTAGCAATAATATGATAATTCCTGGAAAACTGTATGTGAGCTAAAAGGATTTTTAAGAAAAATATTATTTAAAAGTAATTTTGCAGTATTATGAGGCTGTAAAATGCTGGAACCATCCTGTTCAGTGCTTGGGGGAAGTTTTGTATCTTTCTGATATAGAAAAGTGAGATGTGTATTTGTTAAATGAGAATAAAAGTGCTTACCTGTCTCCTGTGAAGAAAGATAGCCATTTTTATAGTAGAGCATCTGGAAACTTATGAAATCTGTGGCATCAAGCAGGAGCCTCCAGTTGTGTCCTGCCTTGAGCCTGCTCTTGTCAGGCAGGACAAATAGATTCTGTGATCTGAGATACTTTGTTGAGAAGCTCGGAACAATTGGTTGTGCCACCAGGCAGAATTTTAGGAGAATTGGGAATTTAAACAACTTCCCACGTGATACCTGTAGTATTGGAATTCAAATACTGTTACAGAAGCTCTCTTACCACAGCAGCAATGCTGCAGAAGTCAGCTTGCCCAGGGTTGTGTATTGACTTCAGAGCCATATCTAGCAGCTCCTTTGGAGGTTTGTTGATGCAAGCTCCTCCCTTTTACCACAAAATCATTTCCAGTCTCTTTGCCGAAAAGATGCAAAATGCATCCTAGGATACCAATTATTTTAATAAGCACTCCAGTTGTAGCAGTGCACTGCTAACAAAGAAGCTCTTGTTCTGAAGAGCTTGCAATCCAAGTTATAAAAGTAGTCTGGCACAAACAGGGAAGTGGAGAGAACTGCGTGCTTTAAGGAGAGCAAAGCTGAATGCATAAAGAATATATGATTGTTTTTAATGAAGTGTTGGATTTATTTCTGCAGTCTTCTGTTTCTCTTGTCTTCCTCCAGGAGAGGGAAAGAATGTTCTGTTACTGTATCTCTGCTTTTATTCATCTTTCCAGTTGCCGTTGCCTTTGTGCTTGAGGCTAACTTTTCTCCTCTTCTGAACCCTCCCCCTTTTTTGCTGCCACTGCTTCCAGTGCACATCCCTTCTGTTACTGAAAAAATAGTGAAGAAGTGAGCATTATTTCACAGTTCATGCCTGGTTTCTATGAACAGGGAGGAAGGGGAGGGAGGATGGAGGGGAGGTGATGGACATCACAGGAGATGGCTCGTGTTTTTACCACCATAGCCAGCTGCATTGCCTTCCTGACACAGAAGCAGAGGTGCCAGGTCTGTGTGTAGGTCAGCTCCTGAACTGCTCACATGACTGACCACATCCAGTTATCGTATTAAGGTAATCTCTCTGCTAGGAGTTTCTTGTGATTACCACTTGGCCTGCATGCAGGACTTTTGATAGCGTGATTACTTTTCTCTCTTGAATTTGTTTGCCATGGCCCAGTTTACTGAGCCAGTGTAGCTAGGATGTGATTAAATGATCTATTTAATTTTCTTTGATGCATGCAGGCTTCCTAAGCAAGAAACAGAAACCTTATTCAGAGGTGTCCACCTTGCTGCTGTGAAGCCTTTTGCAGATTACAGTGTGTTTAAGTGCAGCTTCCATGCAGGACTGCTTTGCATAGCTCTGCAAGCTACCACGCTTGTACAGCCCTGGCAGAATAAGTTGCACTGGAAGAAGCAGAAGCTTCTATGGACGCAGAAGCTGGGTTGCCAGATCACCCAGGAGCCCATTTGCATGCCTGGATCGGCCTATCACTGACTTAGTAAGTTTCCTCTGTGGGAGAACTTGTAGCCTCCTCTGCCTTGATACCTCCAAGGTATGCTTTGTGCCTGCTGAGTTTGTGGACAGTGGGGTCCTGGCCCTTCTACAGAAGGGAAGCCATTAACATCCACTTGTCTTTATCTGAGCCCAGTCTGCATTGAGTTTGACGTCACTGCTACATAAATGAATGAGAAAGACCCATACCAACATAATCATAGACTACAAATCTGCATTTTAACTATTTTCCCTCAGATCTCTGTTCAATTTAGCTTGCTGTGTTGCTCTTCCTTTCAAGTTATTTTCTCTGCTGGACTTCATTGTGCTTTTTTTCCTGCTTTTTTTTTTTTTAATGGAACAAGAAAGCACCTATTCAAACGAATAGATGACTCGCTTGCTTCGTTGTGACACACAGCACGTTTACCTTCTCAGTCTTTCAAACTGATACATATGTGGAATGTGTATGTATTTATGCTGTTGGCATTTGGAGAGCTTCAAAAGGGACACGTGCATAACCTGGCACCGTGAACACTTGTTTTTCCATTTGGTAAAGTCCTCAAATGCTTGCCTTCGCTGTGTTCCCCAGATACCTTCTGCACTAGCGGTCTGAAAAGGAGTTGGTTACTATTGCACGGTCTGTGGCAGCAGGGAATTCTATGGAACATTGCTGCAAGGAGTAACACAAAGTCAGCTTTTTTTCTATAGACCATGAAGAAAAATATTGTGTTGCATCCTTCAGCTATAATTTTTACTAGGAACTCTGATTTATCTAAAGGTTTTGGATTGACAGAAATTGAAGGCTTGCAGGGGACTTTTCCCCTGCTTGTCCCCAAGCAGAAGAGTTCTTTGGGCATCATCTCAGAGGGAAAAGGACAACTCTTGTGCAGGATGCAAGGCTCTTGATGATTTATTATGAAAATTTTGAGAAACACAGCAGCTTCTAAGAAGGAGTGTTGGATGTCTGCCTGCAGAGCAGGACTGTCCTGTGAGAGCTGAAGAAACCTTGAGGCAATAAGGCTGATGGTGCCACTCCTATCTGGTTGTAATATATGTCATGTAGTTTGTAGCTCTCATTTCCTGGCCTTGAACATCTAATCTGTGAATAGCTGTTTGCTGGCTTTTAGTGAACTGTAGAAACCTTTTCTTGAGATTGCTGAAATGAGTGATGGTGCGGTTAAAGCATTCTCCTAGGCTGAGCCAGTTGTGCGGGCAAAATGGATTTTTCAGATTTTCTCACTCCTTCCTTCACTCTGAAGTCAAATATTCTTTCTTGTCTTTAATGAGAACTAATTATAAATAGAGCTTCTCAGTTCTGCAGAGTCATATGGCTGTATGTTTTATCGCGGTTACAAAATGTTGGTTCATTACATATAAACATGTTTTGGCTAACCGTTACGGTAAGGCTGTATGTTGTACACAGAAATCTACTTACAGTAACAATGAGAGGGTGTTCCTCTGGGATTAAAAAGTGAACTACATCCAAACCTATTGAAATAAAAAGTAATACAGATTAACTGTTATATTTGGCAGACGCAATCCATTATACTTCTTTTTACTTATGCAGTAGTCACAAGTGAGTGCTTTGAATTGTGGTTCTGATCACAGTGGAATTTTGACTTTGTACACTAAAAGTAGAAAGTTTTAGAAGTTAAGATAATAAATTATGCATTTCAAACCCTGTTTTGTTTCCTTCTGTGGGATAGCTCTTAGAGTGTCAAGGGCAGATTTTGTTTTCCTCTTTTTTCTTACCTTTCATAAAGCACAGACAGCATTCAGGACCTTTGGTTGTAGTGATCTCTTGTATCAAACCTTTTCCCTTCCTCCAAATTCAAATAAGTCATGTTCTCTTTACTGTACACTGGATGATCTCTTGTTCACATATTTACTGAATGTCTCAATTTCCCAAGATATGCTTTCTTGTCTTGAAAACAAATTTGCTTAACAGTGCAGTTGTATTTGCAGATAAGTAACACTGTGAATGTAAATACAGATTTTTGTGGGATGTTTGTATAGTGTTACAATACAAAAAGTTATCTGTTTGGTGTAACATGTTAACTGACATGCAGGCAGATATTTCAGAGGTGCTTATCGACATGCTATAAGGTTGAATATGAGATCTAGCACACTAAATGATTTTGATCAAGTTCTGAATATTGGATACATCTTGATAAAATATACAGACAGTCCATGCTGTGGAACTGGTGGTGATGTATGGGTAAAGCTTCCAAGTAGTGCTTTTGTTTTGGTGAATGCTGTCCCATCAAAGAAGAATTTGTCTTTAATACAGCTGATTTCTAGAAACAAAGAATATAGCCTATTAGTATTAGGAGAGTGGGGTGGAAATCTACCTGAAGTGTACTGACTGGAAAACTCAGCTGGGTTAGGTAATGAAAGTATCTATAATATACTGCTATAGTCATTCTTCGCTTGAGAATTGAAATAGTTTCATTCATTTTATATGTGAAATAAACCTGAGTTTATCCTTTTTTAAAAGCTGTTTGGATTACTACTTCTGCATCTTGCTTTTAATCACCCTCTCAGGAGGTTGTCCCACAGTAAAGACTTGGGAGAAAAAACTGCAAGGTTAAAAAGTGAATCTTAAAGTAATGGAGAAAAACAGTACAAAATTATAATAAAACCTGAAGCGCAACTTAAAGATATTTCCATTCTTTTTCCCCCTCCCATCTTGTGATTTTTTTTTTTTTTTTTTCTTGCTCTTGATGGTTAAAATTGTGGCAAATGGTTGAGTTTTTTTTATTTATCTAATTCAGGAAAACTTACAGCTTTAAATTTAACAGAACTCATACCCGTGAGTCTGGATGAAGCATATGCTGTATATTAGATTTATGAACTTAAACAATGTTTTAATGCATGTCTGAAGGTTGCTTTTACCTTTAATTGCATTAGGGATCTTGTGAATGTAAGTTGTCTTCTATGGATCCCATTCTGGGGCTGAATCATAAGTACAGAATAAACTTTTTGTGCCCTAATTAATTAGTATTAACTTCCTTGTTGATAAATAGATTGTATGCATGATGGATTCTGATAAATTAATGGGATTAATGATGCTAGCTCGCTGGCAGCTTTCTTAGAAAATAGGTAATTACCTCATTCGCTTTTATCACTGACCAATACAATGACTGTAAACAATAAAGTAATGCTTCATTTTTTATTTTTTAGGTAATAATCTATGGGGATTTGCCAAAAAATAAAGAAAACATAATATATTTATCAAATCATCAATGTACAGGTTTGTATTTTTTTTCATAACGTTTTTATAAATCTGCTCATCTGTTTGCTGTGTTTCTTTCCAGCCTTGCTTTAATGAGCTTTCCATCAGAACTTCTAGCACATAAGAATGTAATTATATTTCTTTGTACAAAAAGTGCTTTTTCTTTCATCAGTGGCAGGTGTAAACTAGTTTAACTAAGCATTCTTGGCTTTTGTCTTTACAGTTGATTGGATTATTGCAGACATGTTGGCAATTAGGCAGAATGCACTTGGGCATGTCCGATATGTTTTGAAAGATGGATTAAAGTGGCTTCCATTGTACGGGTGGTATTTTTCACAGGTAAGCCCACTCACTTCTTCCTTGCTCAGTGTGGGTCAAATGTATATGATGTACTTCCCTTTTGTTTATTTTGTGTTGGGAAGATGGGGTTCTGAGCTCACGTTCTTTGAATGTAAAGATAGCTAATTTCACTCTGTGTAATTAGATGTGTATCTGAGTTGACAGAGTTATTGAAGAATCAGTTTATTTATAAATAAATAAATACTTGTTGTGGGCAGCGTTAGTAGCTACAGGTACTGCTGTAGAACCTGTTAGTAGCTGTTTCAAAATATTTTAATACTTTGTTCTTTTGCTATGCAGTTGCTCACTGCAGTGAGTAAGTGAAAACAGACTTTTTTGGGTGGGTTTTTTTTTTTTTTGGTTGGTTGGTTGTTGTTTTGTTGTTATGCTGCAAACTGGGAGTAAATTCACATTTTTAGTGAGCTATTTGTTTTTCAATTGTTTGGTTTTAACACAATGTAAAAGGGGATCTTAATATAGCTGATGTTGGTGACTGTTGAAAAACTGTTTTGTAGCTGAGAATTTGCTATATTAAGTAATGCTGTTGTACATCTGTTGTAGTTTTCGTGGATATAAATAGAAGGCCTTACTTTTGGAGTGACCAACTTACTAGTTTGCAAAGAAAAATGTGAAGAATAGGCGACTTACCTCTCCCTGTTACCGAGGAATGTATTGTTGATAGTGTTTGACATTTTTAATCTAAATTCAAAATAGAACAATTTTCCCTTGTAAACTGTATATCAAATATGAAATGCCCAACGTTGGTGTTGTATGCTTGACCAGAGCCAATCTTGTGCAAATTGGAAGCTTTGCTCTCTTTGTTTTTGGCTGTGTGTTCCTGTTTATGTCTCAGCACCCTCACTCTTGCATCCATAAGTTGAGCATACAGCCACTGGTGGGAAGAGGAAAGGAGGCAGAACAGCCTTTTGCTGGCATCAACTACAGCTGTTATTGATTGACTCATATTTTGCCTCCAATAAACCAGTGCAATTTGGATTGGGTTTAGAGGCTGTTGGAGAGGGGAGGCTCAGATCCATGAACTCCCTAATTTAGTGTGCTGTGAAGTAGGAAGTGCCTTAAACAGTGTCCTTTCCCAGTAATCAGATGTTGCTTTTGTTTGGTGTAGGTACCTATAGAGGTTCATAGCCTTGGATCATGTCACCAAAAATGCCCATCTCTAGGAAGCGAACTATCTCACTTTTATTTTAGAGCACAGGTACTGTTGAGGTTCTGCTTTCTGTTCAGTGTGTAAGCAGTTCAAGTGTTCCCCAAGGTACCTGTAGATCAGGTTCAATCAATGTTGTTTTCAGCCTGAAAATTGAATGTCTTTGTTGTCTTCTGGATGACTGCCCTAGGCAATGAGTGAGCTGTAAAGTTAGGCTGAAGCATGCATGCTTGCTGTCTTTTTTCCAAAATGGTACTTACTTTAGAAAAAAATATGCTGCAGAAAGAAATAAAACCATCTGTGATTTATTTTTATTGGTACAAAGGTTGCTCTCCCAGTCCCCTAAATAAATACAAAACATCACACCCTGTTGCCACATCCACCACCTCACTGTATTCACATCCACTGTTTGATCTTTATCAACACTCAGCAAGCGTCAGAGAATGTCGGTGGGTGCCATTGTTTCCACATGGAGGAACTCAGTAACACACGTACTTCATACGTACTTCTGTGTCAGACACCATTTTGTCAGACTGCCCCTCTGCTGCCATCTGTCACTTGGAAACAAAATGTAATGGAATATTGGTGGGAAGGTTCAGCCTCTGCTGCCATGCCACCAACATCTACCTCTGACATCATGGGCCATAGGTAGAAGGCATTACTTTCTGAGTAGCCCTCATTCTTGTCCCTACCAAGACTCCAGATCTCTGCATTTTGATTCCCCTAAGGAGGTGGTGACCAGTCTGCTACGTGCTGTTTCTGTTTGCCTATAGTTATTACACTGGTGATGATTTAAGTCTGATTAATTAAATTACAGACAGGATATCTATTCCATCTGCTTTCACTAGGTGTCCAAATTTTTTTTTTTCCAAAATTTTGGAAAATGACTATTGCTTTGTGGAATATCCGGTGCTCAGTTTCCTGTCTGCTATACTGACTGTTAAAAGAAGGTTCCTGTGGAAATTAATCCATACACGAGCTACACTTTAATTAAAAAATAATAAGTAAACCTGTTCAGCTTCATATTCCTCAAAAGAATACAACTACTATGAGATGCAGTGATGGATATACTTTATCTATATAGATAGGTAGTTAAAAATATATATAAATGTAATTCATTGTCATAAATGGAAGGCAGCTTACTGACAATGGTGATGCATGTGTTTAGGTTACGGATACGGGATGCAGCAGGACTACAGCACACACTAATAGGTATTTTTATTGTTTTTATCACACCAAACAGTGCAAAAACATAAAACACTTCCTGCCCTTCCTGTTGATGTTCTGTCAGTGATGTCACTTACACTCCACTAAAAGTTTCCAGAGCCGCGTAATTACGACATGCTCACAGAATTCATATTCCCTGCCTCAGGTAAACATCCTGTTTGGAAATAAACGTGGTCTGGATGTCCAGGAGAGCGAAATTCAGGCACAAAGGAAGTATATTTGTAAACATAATCCATTGTTGACCTAGAGAGGGGCTTTTAAAGTACAGCGGAAAAAAATTAAAAACTTAAAAACAATACTTCCAGAAATGTGTTTTGAAAAGCATTCATATATTTGATCTCTTACTGAAAAGGAAATGCAATACAAATCGGGGAATTTGAGCTGTATACAATCGCATAACTGACATTCTTCTTTGAAGGCAGATATCTCATAGCAACAAAAAGAAAGGAACTACTTAATTAACCTGTTATGTTCCGGGTTTGATTTATTAGGTAGTGAGATTTCATAAAACGAACTTTATTATTTTTGGATGGGTGTAAAATTTGTTTTGCCCTATCTCTCCACCAAAATGCAGCTAGCTCCTATTCATCTTATGCCACCTGGTGAAGCTGGGACATAACTTTGATAAATATTTTTGATCTCTGAAAGTTTGCTTGACTTTTTGACAGAGGAAGTAGGTCCTTTCTGTTGTTCAGCATCAGCTCACGTACACTTCTGGTTGTTTCTGTATTTTGGCCAATTATTTAGCTAGTGTGACATGTTGCCTCTTTGGCTTTGTTTGTATATCTGTGCTGTAGGGAAAGCAACACTTTTCTAGTTGGGTTACGTGCAGTGGGGGGTGACCTTGCAGTGGGTTGTTTGTCTGTTCATATGTCCAATGTCTGTATACTTGCATGTACATGGGAAATACAAGTCTATTTCTGAGCTAGAAAGTAGTCTGAGGTGGGGACACTGGGTTTGTCATTGGTGTTGTGATGTCCCTAAGAAACTGTGCAGCAGTAACTTGGTTTCTGCGTGTTCACCGATCTTAAAATAAGGAGATCTTAAAATAAGGGGTTCAGCTGGTTAGTGATTTGCTAAGTAAGGGAAGACTTTGATGAATGAGAGATGACTGTTGTCAGTGCTAGAGATAGCTGAGAGCTGAGTTCACTCAGAGTGATGACTTGCAGATTATATGGAAGTCTTGTACAGTAGATGCTTCATTTCTCATACCACACCGAGTTTGCCCTTCATCAGAGCTGTTGTCATGCTGTCACTTTCTAAAATAAGACTTCTGTTTCCCTTTACTACGATCAGATATTAAAAACAGCCTAACATGTGAAGTGTGTAGATAGCACGTGGCTGTGTTTGTTGCACAGCTGATGGAAGGTTTTTCTGTTCATGCTGTAATCTGTCCGATACTGGTAAACTGCTTGTGTTCTGGGGCTGCTGTTGTCTACCGTCCTGTTTAAGCCCTGCTTAGGCTTGGCAGATCCCCTGCCAACCAGAGCCACACAATAAAGCATTGCAGCTGACTGCAGCACCATGGAGGGAGGCACAGATACTAATACAGAGTATTTAATATTGGAGTTAATGCACCGTTGACGTTTTCCTTTTCACTGCAGCTTTTGGAGGGCAATATGTCTCATCAAATATCACTAGCTAAGCAGTTGCACAGCCGTCTCTCCACACCATGAAAAGCAAAGAGCTTCACATAGCCGTCTCTTCTGGCTGTCTTCTCCTAACCCTTCAGCTTTAGTCCTGCCTATGGTGCAACAATTAGATGATAGCTCACCCACCACAACACTGTAGTTTCTACAACATACTGTATCTTCTCCTGAAATATTTAGTTGAGGTTCAGCTCTTAGAAGTTTTATTGTCACCTTTCAATCAGTGGTATATAAAACCACAAATAAACAGAAATTATCTGACAAATCCTAGTGCCAACAGTCAGGGCAGGCAGAGAAGGGTATGACTGAGTTAGGAAATGAGGTAGAGAATCCCTGAAGAAGATAGCATTTAAAAATGAAATTGTTATTTGGAATATTTTTTTTTTTAATTAATTGCATCAGTTGCTAATTTTGAAGCATGTTTGTTTACAATGTGATGTGGCTAGGCTGTACGTAAAGCAAAGTTATGGAAGAGGAGGATATGATGAGGCACATTTAATTTCTTTATAATACTTGTGTGTGTTTGCGTGCTTTTGTCATCATCCCTTTACTGAAGTTTTTGTGATAAACTGTGTGGAACAAGTTATAAAATGAATCTTTTTTCCAGGAAATGGTCTAACTTCTTGTAGTGGTTGTAAGCTATAATACTTTCATAGAATCTTTTCCCTTATTCTGTTTTTATCTTGGTATTTAACTTCTTTATTAAAGGTTCAGTTCTCTAGTAAAGTACATGAAGACATTTGCATGACCCATGATAGTTACTTGAATGCTAATTTTTGGATGTATAATACATATAAGTCTGATATTTGTATTAGTCACTGCTTAAGAGGAGGCACATAGCATTGAATTAGTTAGCTTATAACTACTTGTGAGTGAATTCTGTTGTGTGATTTCCCGTGATCTACAAGTTAAGGTGCTTGTCTGTGGTCAATTCCATTGCTGTCTTCCAATCAATTATTTAGCACCTCTAAACAAGATACTTCAAGCATCTTACAATATTCTTTGTAGATCTGATCTTTATATAAACAGATTCTGTGAACTTACTTGCATGCAAATACAGTTTCAAGTGCTTTCATCCTAGCAGAAATTGTCTTGTGGGCAATTTACAGCATGAGTCATAAGGGTGAATGTTACTGTCATCTTCTTTGCTCTTTTATCAAATATTCCACGTTAAACTATTTAAATAGGTAATCCTTTTCATTTCTTTTTCTGCTAGCATGGAGGAGTCTATGTAAAAAGAAGTGCCAAATTCAATGAAAAAGAAATGAGAGGGAAGTTGCGGGCCCAGATGAAAGCTGAGACTCCGGTAAGATTATACCTTGCTTTCCCCTCCTCTCATCATTTCATTGACCTTTTTAGTGTCAAAGCCTCATGGGAGAAATGAGCTCATGCTTCACATCCCCCACCTACAAGAGAACAGTCATGGATTTCATTTTTTTTTTTCTGTATTTCTACTGTTACTTCTTCTGATTGGAGTCACTCCCTAGTGAAACTGCTGGAAATTAGACTAGTCCTTTTATGAATGATATGAACTTTTTGATTCTGTCTGTAGAGGGCAGGGAGGATTTAGATGAATATTAGAACGCTTATTAACTGCTGATGTAACCATATCCAATGTTCCCCATGTTTCAAAAGACAGCATTTTGACTACTGCATTGTTCCTTGTCAGAAACTGGTATTTTTGTAGAGTACCAGTTGTTTATCCTTCTGAAAGTCAAGAAGTATTCTTCCCAAATCTTAATTAGTCATCCCCGTGATCAATCCACTGTTGGTGACTGTGACATCTTAAAACTGAGCAATTTTGTCCGCTGCGCTTGCAGGAGGAGAAGAGCAATCAAAATTGACAAAAACAGTTCACGATAATTTTCTATTTGAAGAATGATTGCTAATGCCAAGTGACTTTTCTCATGACTCCCTTTATGGTTTGTGGCTCAGTGGTTAGTGCATTAAAATGTTTCTTGCCTTTTTGGCTAGACTTATGAAAACCAACTCAGGCATCTTGATATAGAACAGTTACACTTTCATTTTATATAAAATGATGTGATTAGGACTTTCCACTCCAAATACTAAACCTCTTAAAGCTGAAGCCTGGGTAAAAAGAACATATTGATTGTTGTGACCTTCTTTATACTCCTTTTTTCCTGGAGATAATGTGTTTGTGAGGATGTGTCTGTCTTGGAAAAGTAAACTATTTTTACACTTACTGACTTCTTTAAATGTGTAAAGCATCCCTGTTGAAGATAGGATGAGTTTGAGTGCTGGCCTGAACTAAGATTTAGCATGAATGTTGGTTTTTTTCTTGTTTGTTTTTAATTAAGTAAATCTATTCCCCATTTTGAGAAGATAAGTTACGGTGGTCAGACATAAATTACCACAGCTGAGTTTTCTGGCTGACATGAAATGACATCATTTCAGTAGAATTCCACATGTTCCACATGCTCCTCTCACGGGGAGCAACTCTTTCCAGCACACCAGCAAACAGTGTGTACCTTCTGTAGCACAGTGTAAAGCTGACAAATAGACTTTTTGTCTTTCTCTAAGGATCTTTCTGTAAAGATGCTGTAATTCTGTACTGGAGCATTGTGTTGATAAGGTCCAAATTCTGGTTTCAGTCACATACACAAAATGCATTCTTTATTAGATTATACCTTTGTGATATTGTACTCTGTAGTTAATAAATACGTTGTATTTGTTAGTGTCTCTAAAATGTTTTTGCTAGTGGAAAAAAGAAATTTAGGATAGAAAGTAGCTTAAACATATATATGTTTTAGCATTACTGTAAAGGTGAATGTAGTGCTTGCTATTCATTGTGTCTTCATGAAACACTCTTTAAGACTGTGTAATTTCTTTGATTAGTACGTTTCCTCTTCTTGTTAGCATGCCTCAGTGTATCATCTGGGACTATGTTAGCTCAGAAATCTCCTCCTGAGAATGCATTTTCTGTTCTGGAGTTCATTGGCAGTTGCTTAACTGGTGTGAAGCATAGGCATGTTTAGACCTGTCTATCTAATAATGTCTGTAGAGAAAAGATGGCCGTATTCAATAGCAGTAAATTGTGCCTGCATTACCCAGGAGAGTTCTGAGATGTTGAAAATATTGCATTACATTGTTATTTTCTGTGTGTAAGTGGCAAAGATTCTGCTTTCTGTAAAACTTGCAGCGTAATTGGATAAACAAAGATCTGTGAAATGTATTTGAAGTCATCCCCCTAAGCAAAGCATTGGCTCAGTTTGCTTTCGTTAGTCTGGATGGAATCTGCTGGCAGGGTGTTTTCCCACAAAGACCCACTGATTTCTCGCTCAGCTTCTAGTTGAGTCTGGTTTTCTGGCTTCACTCTGCATTCACTAAAATACAGGGGGTTGCTGTAATAATAACGTTTTGGTTGTGATAAGCCTTGATTTGAACTCTGCATTAAATCACTCTGCTTTATAGAAGTATTTGGATTTCTTATTTTTTAATGTAGTCTTAGGAATGCCTAGGAACATCTTAGGAATGTCTAGAAACTCACCTAATTCTGCATGTCTACCCGTAAGTAGCATTCAGTGATGCTCCATTGCTATACATTGACTCAAGACTGCATTAGTTGAAGTGTAAAGAGAGATTGAAGCATAAAGCTTTTCTTTAAAGCTGCTCCCACTGTGGGTTCTGCTTTTCATAGTGGATGATATTTACACGTGATTAATAAATAAAGTAAGTCCGGAAGGCTTTTTTTCCTGGATCTTCTTTCTTTCTACTCTTTGATTGTGTTTGGACTCAAAAACTAGCATGTTTCAGCTACTGCTTAGTGAATTTGGGACCACTTGGTATGTTTGATTTTTGGTGAAATTTGGCTGTCTGGAAGTTCCTTGGAGTTGAAATAGGGCACAAAAACTGGATGTGCTTACCAAGCAGTTGTTGCCATTGTCCTCCTATTATGCAGGGTAGCAGTACAGTAGAGAATAATGTTTAACCACTGTAAAAGTGTGTACTGTTTTAAATCACTTTCAGTCAAGCCGTATAAAAAGGGACTCTTACACTTTACAAAACTGACATTGCCAAAAGCCTGTTTGCTGAGACAAATGATTGCATACGCTAGGGTAAAAAACAGACCACTGAGCTGTCATATGAGGGAAGACTGAACTTTCTATAATCCACTTTATCTGAGAATTTAGATGAAGATGCCGTAAATGCTCTTCAACCTGCAATTACTACTGAGAGAAGACATGATAACCCGTGTCCTTAGTGCATTATTCATGAAGAAACTTTTTGGCTCTGACTTAGTGTGGTATTCGCATCAACTGTAATGCTTTTAAAATGAAGACATTTTAATCAGTAAAACAAGTATGCCCTGAACTCGTCAGCACAAGAACAAATTGCTGCAGGTTTCATGTGAAAATAATGAGTGTACTACTCTAAATTTCTGTTAAAATTTATGCACTGGATGCTGCAGTTCAGAGTAGGCTTCTCCTCTGCTTAGTGAGCTGCTGTGATTTGGTTGTTGTAAGCATGTGTGGTGGGCTTTTTTTTTCCTTTAATGTAGTGCTGGAGAAAATCTTGCCTCAGCCATGAAGGGAAGAATTATTGCCAATAGAGAGAGGTGGAAGGGAATCCGTGTTAAGGGTCACTTGGTTATTTACAGTTTCTCTCCACATAAAGTTTAAACAAAAGAATCCAAATGATTAATGTTCAGTCTGTCCGGAGACATCTCTGTTCCCATTAAGAAACCTAAGACGTGTAGGAAGATGGACCCAGCCCTCCTGCTCTAGTTAGAGTAGCAAACCCTTCCGTTGTTTTACTGCCTCCTTTCACTTGGTTTCTTCTAGATTTTTCTATAATGAAAAGTAAATTAGAGATAGAAAGCAGAAAATTAAGGCAGCCTCTTGGACTCTCACATTCCCAGTAGGCTTGGGCTAGCAGTCGGCTGTGGCTGATCTCATGCTGGGCCAGGGGGCTGTGTGGCACTATTTCCTCGTTTAGGACTCCACCTGCCTTCAGCATCCCCTTCTGTCCTGTTGCTCTACCGTGTTCCGCTTTGCTTCCCAGAAACAGTGCAGCTTTGGCTTGGATACACATTAAGCTCTGATGGTAGCCTAAAGCACTGCTCCTCCTGTATTTTCATAGTAGAGATCTTCAACTGCTAAATTTTCTTATTTCTTCCTTGAAACTCTTTTACATCTCAACTCATCACGTAACTATATATCATGTTAACTATACACATGTCTCACTATTGGACCTTTCAGTGGGAAAGCTCATTCAAAACTGTGGCTTTGTTCACAGGACATAAAATCTGGCTGGTGGCTAACAAATGGCAGCATAACACTTTGTGAGAGACTATGGCATAGTTTGAAGGGCAGCGTAATTGGATAAACAAAGACAAAGATCTTTTTGTTTTGTGTCGATGTTGTTTTCAAATTGTACAAATTTCAAAGTTATAACAAGATAAAAGCATTTCTCAGTGCAATAATCTGTACAGCAGATACTTTATATACTACATATAGTATACATACTATACTCAGTCTGCTTGTTTACAAAGAAAGTTGGCTCTTCTGAACAGCAAATTTCAGTTTGAAAACATGACTTGTGTTTCTGTCTGTCATGCCTGGAGAGAAGGAAACCTGCCTTGTGAGATGCTGCATCTGGTTGCCCAGAGGAGGTAGATACCCCATCCCTGAAGGTGTTTAAGTCCAGGCTGGATGAGGCCCTGGGCAATCTGATCTAGTGCTTGATCTAGGGGCTGGTAACCCTGCCTGTGGCAGAGGGGCTGGAACTTCATGATCCTTGAGGTCCCTTCCACCCCAAGCAATTCCATGATTCTGTGATTTAGCCCAGTACAGCCAGCATTTAGCTAGTTACTGTCTTGTTTTTGTCATTCATGTGACAACAGTATAAATCTTTGTCATCTGAACCAGTGCCAACCAAACAGCAGAAGCCTGAGGACAGATACATTAATACAGCTGTTATAAGGCTTAATTTAATTATTTTGTCATATACTTTCTATTTTGTAAATCCCCGGCAATTTCTTTATAAATTCTGGATGTCTTTGCTTGCTTTCCTTATATTGATTTTTGTATTTTGTTCAAATTATGCCAGATATGCTTTCTCATACCATATCTTTCTCAGTTATTGATCTGAGTGTTAATGTTTCTCATTTGGTTCATCAGAAGCATGTCTGTCAGGCAGTAGTCTAAATAGATATGAACCCATCTAGTTGCCAGGATGCAATCATGAAAATAATAAAATGAAGGAAATGCATGATTTAATATGATTTTGAAGTTTGTAAAATTTAATTGTTTTCTTATGTCGTGCTCCTGGGAACAGCACCATAAATGCAGGATATCTGCAGTCAGTAGTACCACTTTCTTGTTGCCATATGTTCTTCTGCAGAGTGGCAGCTGCTGTCTGCGGGGACACCCTTCAAATCCTTGTGTATGGACAAGTTTTTTCTTTAGCACCTCCTCTCCCTGTATGCTTACAGGGCTGCCTTTGTTGTGCGTTCTGGGGGCTTGTGTCTTGCTTCATGCCCCTTTCCCCTGCTTCGGCTACACCAAGTCCTTTTCTGACACTGTTCTGTCTCAAGGACTTCCTCAGCTGCTTCCTCCTGTCTATAAGCCTGCTTTGCCCCCCCTCTGTGCTGTTGCTAGCAATCTTTAACAACGATGAGAAAATTAACAGAGTTGCTGTACACGTGGAAGCAGTTGTCATCACCCATTCCTTTAATTTATAGAATAAGAGACAAGTTTACGGGCTTCACACTGGGAACTCTTCAGGTAACCTGCGCCTCTTATGGTTTCTTGTCTTGAACCAAAGTCAGTAAAATTCTACTAGCTGAATCCTGATCCACTCTTTTGATCTTGAATTGATCAGAGATAGCATCCTGACATTTGTCTGTTATACAGAAAGTTATGAAGAGTGCGACTTCCCTCTGAACAGAGGGATCTATTTAGCTTATGTTAAAATTGGTTTGTCAAAGAACTGGGGACTGTGATAATGCAAAGATTTTTTTGTCTTTTTCAAAGAAAGTAGCTTTTATGTAGCTAATGGCTCTAAATGAAACATCTTGTAACAAAAAAAAAAAAAAAAAAAAAAAAAAAAAAAAGCCTTAACTGCATCTATTGTTTCTAGGCAATTGAAGTGCTCCTACAATTCAGCAGTTCTTAATCCAAGTTCAGGGGAGCTTAGTTAGTTATTAAAATCTTAGAGATTTGTAGTTCTTATAATCTCTGGATATAGTGCTTAAGGTTTTAACTTCTGCTGCCCATGTTGGGAGAAGAGAAGAGCCAGTGGTGCAGGTAGCTTCGGTAGGCTGGGTGCAGTAGCAGAGTGTCATGAGCAACTGTCTGTGAACGTAATACGGCATCTGTTTGCATTCCTGAATTTTACTCAGGTAAAGGAGTCCTAATGGCTTGCATGTTAGGTTTATATACGCTGAATTTCAAGCATAAAGCACTTCTTTGTCTTGTTAGTATGCTTTTAATTCAGAGGTTTCAGATTCTGATCAGCAAACTTGTTCAGCTGCTTGTGTTTTAAAGATTTAGAAGAGTAATTAAAATATAATTTCTCCCCTGCTTTGTATTACACATCTAGCACCAGGATAAGTAGATTCTGCGCTCTGTTGTGTAATCAGCTTTCAGGGCATTCGCTGCTTTGAAAGCTTTAGTGGTGCTATGCGTTTTTAAGGGCTGATCTCAATACCAGAAAAGGTTTTCCTCTCCTGCACATTTCACTTTCATATTATAACCACTATACTACACTTGGGAGCTGAGCAGTCAAGCTGTAATGAGGGAGGAAGTATCTTCATCTTGACATACTATTTTAAGGATCCAAATTACATGGTTTGAATATAAGTGCCTTTATAAAAAGAGAAATGCATCTTAGTTTGAATGTTATGCCCTTTCCAGCTAATTCTGGAAAGTTCTCATTTGCCAGCTAAATATTTTCAACATGCATGCATACATGTCTCAAGAAAGGTGTGAATTTTAACTGGTCTGAGAATTCCTGTGTTCATCCCTGTGGTTATGCTGCTGTTACGATAAAATGCAAACTCCGTGCCTCTTAAATCCATTTTCATTTGCTGTTATTTTTTTCATTTAGTTGGTGCTGCTTTTTCTGTTTGTTTTTTTTTTTTTCCCCATAATATCTGTATACATCTTGGCTTTCTGCTGATCTTTGAAAATTCTTGGACTTTACCAGTCTCTGCAGTCTGTCGGCTCTCCTCCTCTGCAAACATGCTGTTGTGAGTACAGCCTTTCCTCTAGCTCCATTCAGCTCCATTCAGGAAGTCTTGCAGCTCATCTCTTTACCACGTTCTGCTGACACTGGTTTTGCCATTTAAATTATTTTTTTCCCCTCTGCTAGATTCAAAGCTGCATACTACATTTTCCTCTTTCTTGATCTTGTACTGACCTCTCCAGCTGGCTCATTTCCTAGATTTCTTTCCTTCTCTGCATTTTAGTACATTTCCACCTTCCTCTCTGCAGTAATTCTGGAGAATTCACTTGCTAGGTTCTTTCTTTCTGCATTCATTCTTTTCTTTTTCTGTTCTGCCATCATCAAGTGCAAAATACCAACACACTGATATTTTGTGGGCCAGAAGCACGTTGCAGTTCTGTTTATCTCTTCTGAGCTTTTATTTTACTGTGCATCATTTTGTGATGTATTCTCCCACTTGTCAAGGTCTTCATGTACTCTAGTAATCTTTCTTGTACTGTTTTATAAATCCATTATCTCATTTCTTGAGACTCATTTCTGCAAAAATAACAAAGAAACTAAATAGCCTAGGCAGAGTAGGCATGATTTTGCTATGCGTGTGTTAGTTCAGTTCCATCATAGTTACTGTTGGGGGCAGTAGCCTTTTCTTCTGTAGATGAGTATGAAATTTTCACAATTAAGTGTTATGTGTGTAGGAGATGATGCAGGGCAGAGGAATGTGTTGGAAAACACTGTTGTGTTTCAAAAGCAAATTGAAAATTCATCAAATTATGCTAAGCTATCACTTTAATTTCATAATATATTTGATAACTCATACATGAATGGGATCCATAGAGGCACATATCAGAGCCATCATAATTTCAATTTATAGTATTCCTAATTATGAATGGCACCAAATTTAGATATTATAAAGAAAGGTTAGATGCAAGATATGTATTAAAGCAAAACACTTCTTATTTAGATCTGTTGTGACGTGTCAAAGGATAGATGTTATATTTCAAGTTGAATATTACTTTGGTACTTCTGAATATCTCCTTTTATTCCACTTAGAAAAACAATACTGTTATTGATGTCAGCTGTTCCTGATTTCCTTGCTTTTGTTAATGCATGTTATCTTTCTTCCTAAGTCACCTGGACACCCGTGGTGTACATTCTAAGAAAATTATTTTGAAGTCCAAACAATGAGCTAAGAAATTTTTAGCTCAAATATTCTGATTTTTACATTCTATACCTAGGGTATTAAAAGGTGTGAACTAAATGCAGTGTGCACTTGTCAAGTGTTGATAATTTCTAAAAAAGGAATCAGCTTGAATTCTTTATAAGAACTTTTTGTTTTGTTTTGCTTTTTCATCCCACAGATGTATTTAGTGATTTTTCCAGAGGGGACCCGTTACAATCCAGAGATACCAAAAGTCATTGCAGACAGTCAATCATTTGCTGAAAAAGAAGGTAAGCAGAAAGATCTTGATATCATTCTTTTATTATGAGGTTAACATATGTAATATAAAATGTTAGATAAAATGAAGAGGATCTCACCTTAACTGAACTGTTAAGTCTGCCTTCTTGATACTTAAGGGTTAGACTCAAAAAAAAGCCAATGTTTCTCATACTGTAGTAACATGAATATACTTTGTGTTCAGACATTTCGTGCATTTCAGATTATAAAGGAGCATTCATTTGCAAGAAAATTGTCTCTAGCTTTTATTTATATGTATGTATGAGCACTCCTTTTCCTACTCTTGAAGGACATAGGAATAAGCTACATTGGACCAAGTCACTGATTGGTCTAACTTGACATTATAATTCTGTGTACAGTTATTACTGACATAAAGAATATTTGGCATAGGGAATGCTGCGTCTTAAAGGAAAGTCTTCCATCTCTTTCTGTTGAAATACTGTTAACACTACCATTTCTTTTGGGTTTGTTCCTCTTTCACCTTCCAATCTTACTCCTCCTTGGTTGAAATTTATCCTGCAGTTGCCTCAGTGAACATTGGCATCTTCTCTATAACCACAGATAGAATTATTTCATCTTTGGAATGTCTTGCAAAGGCTCCCAGGCATTTTTATTTTTCTCACAGCATATGCACAATGCACATAAACTTTTAACTCCAACAGTTCCATCAACATGTTTCCTGGTTTTGTTTTTTCCTGTTGACGAAAAGTGAAATAATTCATTCTGAAGGTAAACAAAGACTAACAAATAGGTCTGGTAAATTCATTTCTGTGACATGCTGAAATGAATTCAGTGTGAATGCTGTGAATCAGCCTGTTGATATCATCAAGCTATTAAGCATTGTTAGTTCTTGTCCAGAAGGATATATGCTTTTCTTCTCATCCTTGGGAAGAATGGAATTTGTTTGTGCGTATGTGCAAGAAAGCTGAAGTCATAACATATTTATTCATCACTTCAGCTTCCTGTTGGAAATGAAAGTCAAATGTTTCATTTAGTTGGTGGTTCTTTGAGAGTTCAGAAGGGATGTTGGATATGAGGTGTTTCTTTCCTCTCTTCTCATTTTTTCAGAGAGAGAAAGGGCTCTCATTGTCATTAATTTAATAAAACTCTGAATGATATATCTACAGGTTGAAAAACAGTGAATATAATAATAACCTGTATTGTGCTTTCAGAGCACCTGTTTGTTTCTTCTAGTGCTTTTCTCTAGGTTTGGTCTGTTTTTATTTTGTAAGGGTTACTCCTTCTAAAAACACTAAATACGTGTACTTACTAAACAGGAAGCACCTTCTAGTTTAGCATAGAATCCTGTTGATCTGCTTTTCCCTGTTGCTGAATTCTTTTGTTGTTATTGTTCACAAAAACTTAGACTCTCCTCTATTTTTTATGCGGAGAGGGTGGGAACTGTCCCTGCAATTCAATGGGAAGATTGATACTCACTTGAACTAGAGCATCCCTGGCCAGGATGGCCAGCCTGCCTGATGCTAAAAGCTGCATACCAAAATATCCTTATGGCTGGGAGCCACAAGGCACAGACCACGTATGTCGGGGACCTCCAAGGACAGGGAACTTTGAGTTGACAACTACTCCCCAGAGCCCTGCCATGCAGCAGTGCCAGCCATGGCTTGAGGCTTGGCAGCCCCATTGCCACCACGGTCCTAGCTGCTGGCTGCAAGCAGGGACTCCAGCACAGGAGCTGCACTGAACACCTCCCCGGTCATGTATTTTGCTATGGTTTTTAGAAAGTCACAATGTCCAGTAGCTATTTCAGTCAGAGAATGAGGGCATTCTTTAATTTGTCCTTCAGTCATCATGGAGAAATAAAATCTCTGATTTTACCTGGTCTTTGATGCAGAGCTTGGTGCTTCAGTGTTGGTTTTACTGACATGCAGGGGAATTTTTGTTGTTTTATAAAATATGTCTTGAAATGTTAGTAAGCTTTATAATGATATTTTTTCTTACACTTTTGCACTGTTTATGTACTGAGGAAATAAAGCAAGTGTAGTATAGAAAAACTGGTTTAATTTGCAAGAATTAAACTTTGACTTGGTGTTATTTTCTCTGACGGATGGAACCAGAGATATTGTACCCAAAGATAACACAGCTATTCCTAGAGCACAAACATAACTCATGTTTATTATCATGCTGTCTGAATTACACACAGTTATGTCAAAAACAGTATATGTTTTATTAGTTTTTCAGAGAGGAAGCATGAAAAGGTTTTGTGGATTCGGTGTTTATTTTTATTTTCCGTGGGCCAGATTCTCTTCTAGAGAAAATTTATTGGCTTAAGCAGAATTATTGGGCTGAACTTAATCACCTGGTCTTAATATGACCTATTGAGTTGCATCTCATAGCTTGATATTCTTTTAAAGAAAGTATAAGTAATGGACACAGTCTCTGCTAGAGACCAATTAAAATATGTATAAAACCCAACCCAGAAACAAATGCAGAGATTCACATCCCCAAAGTTTTTTTTCAGATTGCTGGCAGCAACTGTTATGTCTTTATCATTGATACAAATATTTAAATAAATCTTATCTGTCTATGAATAGGATGAAAAGATATCAAACAGCAAAAGAATTTAAAGGTGATTGAGGCCCCCCCCCTTGAAAGGTAACTTTTTAAAAATACTGATTGTACTCCATATTACAGCTTATTCTGTCATTAGACTTGGGTTCTGTACAAAATACCAATTTTTTTCCACTGCAGTTGTTTTCATTGAGATGCAAAAAGTTGCTTACTTCCAGGGATCCTAGTTGTGTGGTGATAAATTGAGAATGTTGTCATCTAAGGGCAGTGTGACTACCCTCAAAAACTGAAGATTATTTATTCTGTATATTTTACAGGTGCCAAACAATTCCAGTCCAATCAGATTTTTACCCATTGTGGAACAGACAGCATTTTACACTAAAAATATATTAATTTGATTGTACTGCAGAAGGAAAAATGTGCTGACTGAATTTTGAAAGCAGAAGTTACCTCTTAAAACTAAGTAGTTTGGGATTGGTATAGAAGCTATTTGTGGGAAAAAAACTCTCCACAGAATTTAAATTGTTCTAGTATTTAACTTTGTGCTTCCAAACTGTAGTACTTGCTAGAGTTTCACAGTCAGGAAACAACATAAGCAATGTTGCCAGAATTTCAGGTGAAAACATCTGTCAGGTTTTCACATTTCTGTCAAATAAATGGTGCCCCCCACTTCCAATCCATTAGCATCAATGCCATCTATGTAGGTGGATTTGAACATCGGGAGAGGATAGCAAGGATCATCATGAGAAGTAAGTGATCGCATGAGATGCTTTCAGCAATTGCTACCAGGATGCTCTTTTTTTTTCCCCTCTGTATTTCAGCGTGGATGGTTACTCATGTGTTTCCAATAGGACATCTCCTAAGAGTCCTAAGGAAATATTTGCACTTACTGAAGATCTAAGCATGTGAAGGCGAGTTTTATCTCTTTTCCTGGGTTTTTGCCTTCCAACTTCCACTATTTAAGTATATAGTCAGTAATTTAAAAATTTGCTTTAGTTTTTCCACTGTGATGGAATGATTGCCATCTTCAGAATCTGGTGTGGTCATTCTGTTGATATAAAGTCCTTGGTCAACTGTTCCATGCATTTTAAAAATGCTTTTGTTCTCACATGCTAGTCAATTGGCTTGAGTTTGTGAGTCTATGAAATTATAATGTGTAAATAACAGTCTTACTTTCATAGGGATGCAACTCAAATCTTGTAATGTTAGTATTTTTTTGTTGTATATATTTGTTTTGAACCGTGAATTTTTTGAAGCATATTACTGATACTGGACTATAAAACAGCCTTTCAGTAGAACCCACTAAATGCTGGACTTTTTTTCTTTTGTACCAACTTCTGGCATAAAATATGTTTTGTCTGTATGTTTCCACAATATATGTGTATGGATTTTTAATAATTTCCTATGAGTTAGACTTCTGTAATGTTCTGAACAACCCTGAATTTCTTAGGTTTAGTAGAATATGAATTTTATCCAAATATTAAGGAATGACATTTTAAAGATTTGAAAACAAATGCGAACAACCCAAAGTCCTCCAACTCCTAATGTTACTGTTAACTTCTGACAAGTCAAAGAGAACATGATAAGCTTGGTAAATTTAGCTTGATTTGCTGTGCTGATTGAAGACAAAACAATCTTTCTGAGTGAAAAGCATTTATGGAATTTTGTATTAATGTTTGATTTCTAACAAAAGTCATTTGACCAAGGAAACATTTCAGGTATTCATTTATCTCCCTAGTCTTGTGTGGAAAAGTTGCAAATATATTCATTTACTATCTCCCTTGTTTTTGTCTGGAAAAGTTGCAAATGTAAATGTTCTTTTAATGCAAGTTTATCTTGACTAGTATCGTGCCTTCTACTAAGATGTTTGTGCGTGCAGGATATACTTATCTCAAAATTGCTTTTACAGGTCATGTGAAAAAGAGGTGTTTCTACAAGCTAATTAAAAATATTTCCCTTCTAGATCTTGGCATTGGTTATAGATCGTATTTTAAAGCAGTTTGAAGTATTTAATTTCCAGAAATACGATTTGAAACTGTCTTTAAAAACTGTCTTTTGGTGATATTTTTTTTTTCACACACTGATGTAAGCATTCTTGTTGTAAGAGGGTGCACTGAATTTTGGAAAGGAGAGTAACATTTTTTTAAGTGCTGTGTTATGAGTGCATCTTAAGTAGCATTTGAGAGATATACGCTTAGGATGAAGAAAAGATTTCGGTTATCAGTAGTTGTCCTTAGAAAATCAAGTTTAGGAAAGTAAGAAACTATCTTATATTCTTAACTTATTTCTGGGTTTACCCATTACAGAAAACAGTGTACCAAAGTGTGATGCCTCCTGTGCTTTGGTGTGGGATTGCTGTACTCTTTCTGAGAGGAATTCTTAACTTCTCTTGTACTGTTGTTCATAAGAAATCTCTCTTTTTTTTCAAGTGCGTGCAAGTTTTTAATACTATCAGCTAAGACTTTTGTATGCAAGTCAATGGAATATTACCATACAAATAGATTTTTAGTATTCTCTCTAGTTTTTTCTTATCATTCGCCACTGAAAAATGTTTTACAAAGTTATTAAGTGAAACTTAAAATGGCAAAGATCCCCATTTCTACTTAGGTTACCTGTTTGTTTGTTTGTTTTTTCCAAAGAGATGGGAAAGCATTGCTTTTTGCTTCACATTAGCAATAACTGAATGTTATTCCAAATTGTTGTTCCAAATGGATGTTTCTTAATTACCACAGTCTCATATTTGTCTCAGTGTTCTCACTTAAATTCACTGAGGCAAAAAACTTTTTGTAGTGAAGCAGTAGATGACTTGGCAGACTTTGCATAGAAAAATTACAACTATGGCTTTTAAGAATCTTACTATTTAAGAACTTTTTAAGTGCACACAAGCAAATGACTTTGTACCTTTGTATCTGTCATTTTTTTTTAAACTCCTCTCACCTGTTGTTCTTTGTTTTATATTTTTATTCCAATGAGGATGTGTGTTTTTTGATGCCTCTTTAATGCTTCTCAGTGGTCATGAGGATGGCCAGTTACCATGTTATCTACTGGTTAGGTAGCAAACTGTGCCTGAGAATATTGGAATTATGGCTGAAACTTGCTGCTGTGCACCTAACTTTTCACTGTGGGGATGGAAAGATACAGTGTTTTTAAACTGTTTTTTATATGAGCATATTTCTTCTACAACTTCCTTGGCAGGCTTTCATAAAATCTGTTACGTGAGAGTGTGTATAGGAAGTTGGAGATACTTGCAGGCTGGGAGAGTAAGCTCCATCATGAACGTTGAGCACTCCCACCGTGTGTAATTTTGTATGTCTCTCTAGACATTGGTTTCAGTAACCAGACCTTCAACTATTGAGGGTGTTCCAGTAGGCTGGGGTGAACATAGTTTTAGGTGTGTTCATAGGACACCAAAGAGCTGCATATTTAATCAGATATTACTTCTGCAGGAACATGTACACACACACATGGAAAAAGAGGAAAGAAAGATCTAGATGGTATTAAACTTAACTCATTGGTTTTTTTTCCCTCATTTTCAATTTGTGTTTTACCATCAATTAACATAGTTTTATAGGAGGAGGAAAAACTAGTCAGATGAATTTGACATCCACTTTAGTGAGAGTATAACTTTTGTTGATCAAATGTGTTAGTGCTCATGTAATACACAGGTTTTCATCACTTAGAGCAGGTTTGGGTTTTTTTATTTAGTTGGTTTTGTTTCAAAATAAAGTGTGTGCACATGTCAGAAGTAAATTTATGACTAATGCAGGATTCTGAAAATGTTGGTAGGTGGTCTGCCTGCACTGGAAGCTCTGTGAGCTTTTGGCTCAGTTTAAAGGAAAAGCAAGGGAGATCTTCTCTGTAGAAATCATTGGAAGAGGCCTCAGAGATCATCTAATTCCAACCCCCTGCCATGTGTAGGGTTGCCACCACCAGATCAGGCTGTCCAGGGCCCCATCCGACTTGGCCTTGGATACCTCCAGGGATGGTGCAGATTTTAGTTTAAAATCGTTCCCTCTTATCCTATCACTATCAGGCTGTGTAAAAAAGTCTGTCCCCCTCCTGCTTATAAGCTCCCTTCAAACACTGGAAGGCCACAGTGAAGTATCCCCAGTTCTCAGCTTTTATATCTAACTTCATCCTGAGAAATTAGATAAATGGTGCCTTTGGGTTTGTGGTTTTTTTTTTGTCACTCTTTTCTGTTTCATGAAAAAAAAAAATAAATCAATTCTGGAGATGCTAATGTTTCCTAACTAAAACTTTTGTTTCTTTCAGAAAGTCTGCAACAGAAATTTGCATCTCGTATAATCTAGTTAACAGTTGCTGGTTGAGGTACCATTACTCAGCCTATTTATCCAGATTTTCATATGATTATAATGATTTCAGAAGCCCTTGATTCAGTTCTCTTGTATGCCTGCATCATGACATAACATTTATTGGTATTTTATACTTGTTGATCATTTAAATATAGGCTACCATAAAAGAGCAAAGCTGTAGCATTTTAAGGTAGAGTATTAATTATTAGACATCTAGTTTGTTTTGTTTGGCATTTAAAATGAAATCTCATGACCTCAAATACTTTGACAGAGTTCTAGCTTAGTATTGCACAACATTAAAAACAGTTTAAGCACAGTGTATTTTGTGAATTGGATGGAGGCAACTTGCCAAGGTAAGTAGACTGTAGCTACTTGGGTTTAAATTCAGTTATGTTGATTTTAGCTAAGATCATCAAGTAATTGCAAGATTCTTTAGAAGGATGTGTTGATCTCCTATTGCTGATGCTTCTTTATCATGCACTGGAGCTATATTAAATAACAGACTATGGCCTTTCTTGATCTTAATTAGATGAATACTCATTTTGAATCTGAACCTTCAAGAATTTGCAGGTAGCACATGGCATAAGAGAGACTTACTCTACAGTTGGACTTCTCAGATTGTCACTGGCCATCTTCACCACCAAAAATGTGCATGAATTAATTAAAAAAATTAATTTAAAAAAAAAAAAAAACTGATTAGTCTTAGATATGTGTATTATTTTGTCTAAAGAATTGAGTTCTTGTTGAAGCCTGATTTCTCCTTTCCTTTCCCACAGTGCTAGGTTGGGTAACGGGAGGATGAAATAGACAGGAAAGGAATGACAGTGCTTTTAGGGCAAAATTAGTGTGTTAGAAAATTCGTATCAACAAGAGTTATTTTGAGTGCAGCGTCCACACTAATACCATTGCTGTCACAACGCTAGAATATTCAGTGCTTCATTTACTGAGTAAACATTTAGAAACATAACATAATTAGCTGTTTGATGTAACAGTTCACAAGCTAAAAAAACATTGCCACCATATTATCCTTCAAAATATTTACCCAATCCGTATAACATTTTGCGTAGACAGTTATCGCTACTGCCGGTAAGGCTTAGAACAATGACTTCAGAAAGAGTGCTAGTAAATAACTTTTTATCGCCCTGTTTGATCAAAAAGGCTCTTAGCAAATATTAAGAAATCAAGATAATTATTTATGCTGAAATTTTCAATATATATAGAGAGAGAAATCTTAGAGAAGTTTAGATGCTATACTGTTGGGTAGATATGTGCATAATTTTAGATACATACTGTACTATCTTTTGTGTTGATTTTCCAAGTGGAAATCTACATACAGCAATACCACAATATTTTGGCTTAGAAAAAATCTCTTCTTCTAATGTCAGGAGTGAATACCACTGATGGGAGGTGCAATTTGAAAAAAAAAAATTTTTTTGAAAAGTAAATTTGTGATAAGGCTAGAAAACAATAATCACAGTCATATTCTGATATTTCTCTTTGTGAAAAATACACGTAGTACAGCAAAACAGTGATTTTTTTTTTTTTTTTTTCCGTAAAATTCAGGCTTGTTTGTAGAAGTATTTTCAATTGACTGTAGAAGAGCTGTGTTCAGATCACAAAAAGATTTGGTGTATTTTTCATTTTGCAATTCATTGTATATTAAAACTTTGGAAATAGAATAAAGTTCATACTTTCAAGCTCAGCGTGCTTGTGTGTTCTTCAGTATGCTTTTGGTGGAAGTGGTAAGCTGAAACAATGTACCAATCTCTACATCTTAGCCTGGACAGTTAAAGGTAACTGCAGATTTCTATGACTATGGTTTTGTTAATGGCTAAGCCATTCTAATAGCTTGTTGGCAGGGAAACTAAGATTTCATCTGTGCTGTCAACTTTGTGCTGTTTTCCCTCTCCACTGCTTAGTTTCTGCTGGGACAGTGCCTTGATTTGGCTGGTGGGAGGGTAGTGGCAGAGCAGTACTGTCAGTAGCAGGTGCAAGCCTGCAGAAAAGAGTAGCGGAGTCATAGCTGCAAGGATAAAGTTGAAATCCCCATTTTTCTCAGCAGCAAAAAAAATTGGCTAAAGCTGTCTTGAGTCTAACTGCTTTCTGTCTCCTTCCTCAAAATGAAGACAATCAGCCAAGCCATTATCCCAGTGTGTGGGCATGGTAATAATGGGTTGATGGGTGGATTAGATGATCTTAGAGGTCTTTTCCAACCTTAATGATTCTATGAAAAACAGTGAAAAAGATAATCGAAAGTAGAAAATATCAGATATTTAAATATGTTTGCTCACACTATAGCTTTAGAGAAATCTTTCAAATTGTTTAAGCATGTGTAGTCTAAAACAACTGCTGTTTAATTACTGTGGGATAGTATTAGGATTCAGTATGTTGATGGAATTGGTTTGTCCATTGGAAGTAAAATGCTGGATAAGCATTGTATGTGCTTAAATTTATCTGTGTGTATGCCTCATTTACCAAATCTGCTTCTGAATCAGAGTCTCAGGTGGTGATATTCTCTGTGTCTTGTATTTCTCAGTTACTTATTTTTTTAACCTATATTGGACAAACAAACAGTAAAGAGAAATGCTTCATCATCTATGAGCCACCTTAGAACCATCGCTACCTCAAGAGCAGCAGCTGTAACAAGGACTCTCTTGTTGAGCACCCTGTTTGTCATTAATATCCTGTAATAATTCTGTTCTATCTTCTACATGCATTCTGTAGAGCAAATGCAATGTGCACGTGCTCTCTCTCAGCTGAGAAATGAGATTAAAAATAATCCTTTTGTGATTTTTGAGTGGGGGTGCTGAAGTTTGCTGGCATGATGTTCATTTTGGAAGTATCGCTCAAATTACCTTCAAACACTTTAATTTTCTTCCTAGGACTTGCTGTATTGAAGCATGTGCTAACGCCACGTGTGAAGGCAACTCATGTAGCAATCGACACAATGAAAGACTATCTGGATGCAGTGTATGATGTGACTGTGGCATATGAAGGTACTGTGGACCACAAGGGACAGAGAAAACTGGCACCATCTATGACAGGTGAGTTGATGTATATAGACATGCTGCAGCCATATGTATGTTAACATGCAAAGACAACTTCTGGTGCTTTTCAGTGCTCTGGAGATGATCTCCACAGTGTTCCAGCCATCTTACCACTCCTTGATGAGGCATCAGTGATTAGTGACTTGGCTTAATAATGCTTACCCACAGCATTCCTGTCCTCTCCTTCCCTTCCCTACTTGCACACAGAATATTTCTTTGGTCAGATTCTGTGCACTACCAGTGCTCTTTGGAGTTGAAATGAACTTGAGGCCACAAGCAGCAAGTGCCCTTCACCTTCGTATTTCTTCTAACACTGGCATTTGATGTGATTGTAAATTATCTTTCTTCCTGCTTTTTTTATATGTAGTAATGTATTTTCTTTGTAATTTTTTCAGATTGCTAAACATACCCAGCAACCTTGTAAACACTTCAAGCATTTGGTACAAGTGGGCTTTACTTACTGCATGTAGTATTTTAACCATTTTTAGCATCTTAAGAAACTAGGGTAAATTAGTCATACATTCTGTTCGTTAATAAAAAGTAAGTTCCAAGGTAGTTGCTGGGGAAAACATGGGCAGAAATCTCTGAAATTTGGAGAGTGGTGAGTTGTTTCTTTTCTTTAAAAATTCATTTATTTATACCATCGCTGGAGGGCTGAATGGCATCTTTCATTCCATTTGCAGTTGGTAGGTCCCTCAGCCATATCTGAGCGTGTCTGTTAGTTGGCTCACAGTAGTACTTTCCAGTCTTTTGCAATTTGGATATTAGGGGCAAAATATGTGACGTTAGTTCAGCCTTGTGTTTTCTGAGGGACTTGCAGGTAAATTCTTAGCTAACTTATCACTCCTCAGCTGGTCCAGTGTCAGTGTGGGGCTAGTACTTGGTTCCTTCTGCTAAAAATAGTTGCCAGTACAGCCATTTCCATCTCACTTTGTTAATGGGTGCAACTTCTCGATGGTGATGTGAAGTTCATCCTTCCAGATGCTGGTTTTTAGAAGTTCGGGAATTGTCTGTTTTTAAGTTTTCACTAAATTTAAAATTTTCCTGAATAGGTAGGACACATAACTACTAATGCTGTGTATTAACTCGTGAGTTTTTAGGATAGTTTTGTGGTTAAATATTGAAAGTGGTTTATATGATTTAATGTATTTTGCTGAGGACGTAATCTTCTTTTAAACTTAGTTTTGGAGATTTTTATTATTTAGTTTGTTTGTTTTTTAAAATACATATCCCCTTGAAGATTGACAGCCTCCCTCTTACCCTATCACTCAAGATTCCATTTGAAACAAATGGAATTGTTTCCCCTTCCCTGTAGCATATCTTGTTTCATGGCTGGATTATTAGACTCTTACACTGGACTTTTCACTGCCTGATCGTTAATTAAGCTATTAAAATATCATTACCTAATGATAAAATGGCAAATGTTCAAATTCCTTACAAACCCTCTTCACCTATTGAGCTTTCAAGTTTCTATGAAATATGATTACATAAACAAACCTAGCAAACTGAATTTCCCTGTTGACTGTTTCTTGTGCCTGGTGTCAAGTGGTAATTGGTTTGGGGTGACCACTGCACATCCAGCCTCCTCAGGACTCTGGGACAGGGAGCCCAGCCTTCATGGCAGGGCTACATACACATCAGTCAGGGATGTATCAGACTTACTGGTGAGGCTGGAATGATTACTGTCTCAGGAACAATAAAGCGAGTAACACAGAATGAAGTGAAGCCAACCAGTTGTTATCCATTACAGAGTAGATAAAGGGAATATCCATCCAGAACATTCCAAGTTACTGTGGCAGTCACATATATTCCATATAATATAGATTATGTAGATTAAGGAGGCTTTAAAAATTACAGAGAGGAACATTCCTTTAGACCCTCCAGACACAACATGAAAGAAAAAAAAAAGAATTTCTGATGTAGAAGGTCAAGATCATCTCGCTGTTCTCCAACAGTCCAACAATTGGTCTGTTCAGTAGTATAATACAATAAAAAGATTTGAATTAGTATATTATTATTTGAATTGTGTTATTTCTATAATCTTCTTGTTTAAAAAGACTTTCTTAGGAAAAAAAGATCTTTTTTCACCTTAGTAAACTGAAATATCATAGTGTTTACTTGTTCAACAGGATTAAAACCAAGCACAGTACACTAGCGTCTGGAAAAATGACCTTCCCCATCCTTTCTGCATTTGTGCTTAGAGTAGAGCCATGAATGCCAGGAAGGTCTGATAACACGCTGCCTTTTAAGAGCAGGCAAATTATTGTAGTATATCCTTTGAAATGAGTTGAATTTTTTGTGGCTATCTATGCACTTAAATATTTTATTGGCACTTTCCAGCTGGAAGTTCTGTTTTCAAAGACATAGATTTAATTAGTAGTTGCATACAGTGACATTCCTTGTTGTTAGTGCTTCACATTCAGTTGTAGCTAATGGTTGCGATTTGTATTTTGTACATTTTCTACCATGTATTCATTATTCATTCCTTTTCATTCCAACAAGTTTGGATCTTGTTATGTTTCCAGTGGAATTTTTCCCCACATGGCAACCTCTCCAAAGAGTAACAGTTTCTCACAGACCCCATCCCTCTCCCAGTACTGGAGATGGTTTGTCCAGATCGTTAAAGACAGACCATGATGAGTCCTCACAGGAAAGACCACACTACTGGACTGTATTTATTTGTGACCCTTAAAATTCTAAGATCCAAATAATCACGTAGGCAGTTCATGTTTAAATTCTTAAGCAATTTAGAAGCAAAAGAGGAAAGAGATAAATGCTTGTGCTGGATTTGTTCATAATGTTTTACTATAGCAAAAGCATATATTATCATTCTTCTTAAAAGAACCTAATTTTCCTTCTCCCAAATGAATGTGCTGAGTGTTGTTATCCCGCATTGCTGGTGTTAAGGAGTAGCTCTCATGGGACGTGGGAACTGTTGTCGTTCTTGCACCTGAAAGAGCATTATGCACACATTTACATCTTTATTATTTTGCCTGCAGCCTGGAGGTTTTACCATAACCAGATGGTATTTTTCTGGCCATTGTAGATGAAAGAGTGTGTGAAATAGCAGCATGTGACAATGGTAAACATTGAACAAAAATAGAAAGTACATGTAGACTCTGTCTTGAAGAAGTCAGAGGAATTCCTGAGAATTATTGACTCTGCTCTATATCAATTCCAGAACAAGCACTTTGAAAGCGTGTGTGTGTGCACATTTCTGAAAATCAGTACATCACTTTGATCGGTACAATTTGAGGAGGTCAGACTAGCCAAACTTCCCTGGGGGAAATTACACTTTTCCAAATGTCTGTGCTTTTATTAGGACCCAGTTAGGCTGTGAAGTGCAGAACAATAGCAAAGAAACTGGAGCAGTGGAAAGCCGTCTTCGTCTGGACTTTAGCCTGAATTTGATCAAATCTGCTGTCTTTTAATATCCAAAGAATGATAACAAGCACATAGTTATGGATGTGTTGAAAGAATTAAAAAACATACCATATATGAACTGATAAACAGTATTAGATATATAAAACATTCAAAAATGAGATTTATAATGATGAAGTGACTAATAATCTGTTCAGATCTCTACTAGTTGTCCTTGCGTGAAAAACATTGAAAATTAAATTGCAGTTACTGTAGAGCAATTAAAAGGATATCAGTTAGAAGTGAGGCTGGCCATCAGCATTGGTGACATCTCTGGAGGTCCCTTCCAACCCCTGCAATTCTGTGGTTCGGTGAAGTTTGCAGCAAGTGTGGGATAGCTTTTATGGCTTTTTGACTTCTATGGTAAATCTAATGTCATGAATTTGTTGTGCTGCATCTGTTCAAACAAAATTTAAGCAATTACCTTTCATATTTCATAATGTAAATTTTCCATTGAAATATTTGGAGTAATTTTGATAATAACACTGGTTGGGCAGCAAAATTCAAATGATATTCTATCTTACAATCATGCTTGAAAGGAAAACTCTGATTTTATTTAGTGTAAATTATTAAAATATGACATTTTTAAATGCAGTGATTTTACCTGGTACCACAGCATAAGTAATCATCCGGTTTTAAACTGAATGCCTTTTCACTTGTTCTCTGTAGGACTAGATTTGTCACTTTAGGACCACTGTCATTTCCTATTAAAAGTAGTTCGAGGAGCACAAAAGCCTGTCTGTCAATTTCAAGTGGCACTTTAGGCACAGATTTGTATTTGTGTATCAGTGTTCTGCACATAAAGACTGTCTCGGTAAATGCTAAGTATTTTAGTTCTGTAACAATTAAACATTGTGCTTCTGTTTGTAAATAACAGCATTCACCAAACAGTGGCATCAGTTCATGGGAATGTATACAAGCTTTGCTGTAGTTTCTTATTGGACTCCAAGAACCAGACAAAACAAGTCTGCCAGAGCATGGTTGCCAGAAGGAGTAAGGACATCTGACTTTTTACCTATCTGAAGTAAGAACAGAAAGAGATTTGGAGTTCCTGTAGCCCAGTTTCCTGCTCCCTGCAACAAGGAAACTCAGATGCCTGAGGGTAGTAAGAATAAGGCAAGCATCAGTGATACTACTTCTTCCCAAACAACAATCACTTGTGGATGCTGCTTCTGTGTGTTATAAACATGCCCTCAGTGGGGATAATAACCCCTCCTATTTCCCCATGAGCCCAAGGTGTATTGACAAGTGCCTGTCTGATCATAAACAAGAGTCTTGTGCATCTCTGTTATCTTGAGGCAGTTCCTACTGAGTGTAGGCATCTGTGGCTTACCTTTGGGAATGTAAAATCAAAAGACACAACGGTCATCAGCAAACCTTTGCTAAACAAATCAGATTTTCAAAGTATTTACCCTGGAAGCTTATAAAATCACTCTGCTCCATGTTCTTCGTGCATATGTGCAAGGAATGCCCACACAACATTAATGTACAACAGCTTGAGGAACTCCTGATCCTTATGCAGAAGTGTATCTAAACCCTGAGGATAACAACAACAACAACTTTAACTTCTTCACACC